TAACTGTGTGTGACTTAAGTAGATCTGAGAAATGAGTTTTAAAGAGTGTTTTGAAAGACCTAAATTCAGCCAGGCTTTATGAAGCAGAAATTATTTTATTTTTTTTAAGCAGTCTAATTTCTGATAATCAGTGCATTCCTTTGTTGTGCCAGATTATTGCCGGTGGTGGTGGGGAGGCGTCTGGCGAGGAAGGGGGCTGGGAGGAGGCAACACTAAAGCAGAGCAGGAGAAAGCTCTGATGCAAAATTTCTACCAAAAAGCATCTTAATAATTGTTCAAGAAAAACTTGTGGAACCAGGGTCTGAAAATTCATTTGCTGAATATGTAAAATACATAATTTTGCACGTAAATGGCTAACCTCACAAATACCTCACAAATGTGTCTTTACATTGATTTGCTTAATGTGCACACTTCACAGGTTTCCTATGCACCTTTTTTCAGAGACATTTAGCAGAAACCTATATGGGTCCACTTTTTTAACTTCTAATTTACCAAGTCTTTTTCATCACCTATACCTTGGGCACCAGATACTTGAATAACGACATCCAGTTCTCCATCCTTTTATGATGAGGTCAATTTCTTTTCTGTCACTGGATTCATGTGGGGCTGGATAGGAGAACATTAATTTTTCTGGAGGGGTTTTTTTTTTTTCCTTCATGTCTTATATTCTGCCTGTCTCAACTACTTCAGCTGAAGAAGACTATTTTAGGAAAAGATCAATAAATCTTTTCATAACTGGAAATGTTAGAGGGTTATTCAGGAACATTTTAGCAGTACCTGCTAATTTCTGTTCTTTGCATCATGTCCTCTATAGGCTTTGAGATTAAGTGGCACTATGATATTTCTCTTATACTAGACACAACCATACAGAAACAAGATGTATTTGTGTTGTTTGCTCTTCATAGTGATATAAAGTGTATGTTATCTGTGTTACTGGCTTCATATTAACTGAGACCCCACTGCTCTAAATAATCAGGTTTATGTGTCTCTGTTTAAATAAACAAATCAGTAGGAGATAGTTCTGCCCTAGTCCTGAAAGGTCTAGCTTTAAGTAGCAACATTTTTTTAGTAGCTTCATAATAGAGGAATTTACTCACATGCATTCATGAGACAAATGAAAATTATATAATAAACAGGCATAAAAAACACTTAAAAATTAAAAGTAGAAAAAGCTGTGGGAATTTTGCGTGTTCAGTCCAGAGGAATATATAAAGTATAAGTGTGATTGTACAACTAGAGCAGACAGTATCTATCAACAAACTGTCTAAGAATCACTTTCAACAGATATATTTAAGTCAGGATTTAGAGACCTCTCCTGGATATCAGGGCATGTATAGGAGCAACGGGCCACATTTACATCTGTATTATAGTTCTGTACATAGCAAATAACAATAGTTAATATTGTCATTCTTCTATTTCCAGCTATGTATATTGCCTTCACACAATGTAGGATAACCATCTGATGTGTGACCAACTGGGGCTTGTTTCCTTTCCTCTGATTTCTGCTCTCGCGTTTGTTAAGTTTTTGGTGGCTCCTACACTGGAGTCCTTTCTAGGACTTCTGGGACCTACTGTAGCCCAAGTAAGATTAGCATCACTAAACTCTGGACTTAAAAAGTGTAATTATCAATTTTATAATTTGTCTGAGGGAAACCAGCTCTAATTGTAAGGCCTCTAGAGAGGGTGGTAAGTTCCCCCTTGTCTTCTTTAGTGGCAGAAGAAGTCTAGCCCTAGCTGCATGATGCTTGAGCCTGGACAGGGAGAGGTCCCTTGGCCACTGAGCATCCTCCTGAGGCATGAAATTCAGATGGCTGTAGCACTCAGTGTAAGGGAAGACTTGAAGAGGGGACTCCCATTCCATGTCTCTGCTTTAGCTGCCAGGGCTGCGTTGAGGGACAACAATGCTTCCCTCATGGCAAAGCCTGATGTGAGTGGGGGTCCTTGTGTGTGATGAGGCTGGTGCTGAAAGCCCTGGGAGATGAGATTTGATGTTTCCTGGAAGCTAACTTTGCATATGGATTTTTGGGTCACCCAACCTTCAGTCTAACCTTTCTAATGCCTTATGTTGGGCACCTGGCTCTGGGTTTTTAATTCCACGCCATTCACTGAAGAGAGCTTTTCACTGAGAGCTTTTCAGTGCTCTTCTTACTGGTGTCTAAGTGCTAACATAAATTTTTAGGACCAAATACTGCTTATCTCTCTTACATGCATGTTTTTTAAAGGAAACTTTTTTTTAACTGTTTGTTGTGACATGAAACATGCTTGAAAAAGGTGGGCTGTATTCATTTCTTTAACCCTAAAATAGTGTCAGCAACAAAACCAAGGAAAGGCTTTTCAATTATTTTCTCCATGTACTTCAGAAAGAATTGCTACTGAACAGTCAGTATCTCAAGTTAAGTACAGATTGATTCTTGGAGACTAATTGGTGAGATTTATTGACAATACAGCATTTGGCTAGTTATAATAGACTCCTATTCATTATATAGTTGATAATTCAACAAGTAGCTGATTCTAATTTTCAATGTTCGTTATACCATTAACGCTGACTTTATTAGCCTACTCAGAGATGCTTAAAAACAATTAACCTTAATTTTTTTAAGTGAAATGTGAGATTTCAGCTATTAAATTTCAATTCTACTTTAACTGCCTCAAGGCATTAGACACGTGGCTCCTGAATTCTGGCGCCTTATTAATGCAGGATATCAGGGTCTTCAACAAAGAAATTCAAGGTCTGATTTTTAATTCTATGCAGATGTGGCTTTTCTCATATAAGTAACCCCATCTATGAATGAGGTTCCCTTCCTTCCATTAGTTTCTGTATCAGAATGTAATTTCTTGTTGTGGTGAAGGATGGCATAGGCCAGTATTTAATTAAAAAATTGCAAATGTCCTGATGACCTAAGCATGCAGAGAGAGGATTCATTTTAGCACAGTGCCATAAAAAAATGATAGGTGGCTTTTCAGACAAAGCCTGCTTTCTAGGGCTCAGAAATTAGGCGTGCATTTCTACAAAGCAGAGTTTGAGAAAGATTTCAAAGCAGATCAAAGTTAAAGAGCTTCCTGATGGTTCAGCTTTGTAGCACTAAGCCTGCTGGGTGTTCTGCAAGGATCCATTGTGCCTCACTGCTCAGAAAGCACAGCCGTAGCTTTGCATGCATTACACCAGCCCTGTTTTCAGTAGGGTTTTACAAATTGCCTAATCCAGGATAGGCCTTTTCTGGGAAGCTCTTTTATCCTTCTAACATTTGCATAATGATCTCAATACTGTAATTCTTGTGTGACAGTATGTTGAAGCTCTTTCTGATTTACATTAATGATAGTACAAGAATAATGAAATACCAAATTGACTTCATCGTCTTTCAGGACTGAGAATACCATAAATTTCAATGTTTAAAAAAAATGTGGGGCCAAGTTCACTCCTGGTATAATCACAGTGACATCTCTAGAGCTAGGTGAGCTGTGCATTGACTTTGTCCTGCTTAAGTAAATGCTAACTCATGAGGGGGTAGATTCTACTAAAGACCTACAATTAAAAAATGGGAACCTTTCACATTGGTACTCTGTCAGAGTAATACTTTTTCCCCTAGAACTTTGATTAAAACTTGATAATCTCCCATGAAAATTCTAAGCTAATCATTTGAAATAAAACATAGATGAGGATTGCATGAATACTTTATGTGAACAGTAAGAAAGTCTCTTGTTTTGAGCATTGTGTTAAAATTTGCAGGACTGCACAGCAGGCTGTACCAGGCTGAGTTCCCCTTTCTGTCCTCCTGGAGACCTTACAATGAGGCAGCACAGACAGGAGATGAAAGGCAATCCCAAACAGCCATGCAAAAACAGTTCTGAGTCAATAACAATTTGGAGTGATCTGGAAGATATGCTCACTGAAAAAAAGACTTCCATAGTAATTCAGAAAAAAAATAATTTCCATTTCTGTGGGAAAATAGACTAAGAAGGTGAATCACAGAGTGCAATGTGTGTATGTATGTATGTATGTATGTATGTAACGTGTTCATGTATGTAACAAAGGTAGGTTTGTTGTTTTTTTTAAGAAAAAAACATTTTTTAACAACTGTCAGTCAATGCAACCAGTGTTATATGATGTCTTGCAATGAGCAGGTCATGTTAATATATACAATTGTTTGTTCTCACTACCTATGAATGATTAAATGTGTGAAAGAAGACAATTACCCACATAACACCTTATTTCTTCCTAGAGTAGTAGAATCCCTACCTTTCATTTGTTAAGTGCCATCAGAAGTTTTCTAGTCCTCTTTGTTTACTGTCATTAAAGGAGATAACTCCAATTTAACAAAAAGGCTTATATGATATTTTAAATGATTTTTCTTCATCAAGCATGTTATGTGACCTTTAAAAATGATAAAAATGTAGTCCTGGAGCATTTATGATCGAGTTGTGTACTCCAAAGTCCCAATTTTGGTGCACATTATCAACTAATTAGAAGAGAGACTGTGAGAAGCAATAAAGTTAATAAAGTTGCACTGATGGGAGATAGTAGCTGACTTCTTAAATTATCTGTGCAGCAGGTTAAGGTTCATCCTGCATGAGCGTGGATGTACCACCTTATAGTCTTGTAGGCAACTCACCTCCATCTGGGTCTACAGGGAGCCTTCATCCTATGCTTGAGCATCACTCAAAAGAGCACTCGAGATGAGAAAGGCACTGTTCACTCCCAGCACACAGAGGAGCTGCAGGTCTGGATTTCTCGCTGAAACAAACAGGGAAGTGGCAACTACTGATGGATGCTTTTTCCCCTGAGGAGCCCCAGTGGTCATCCAATGCAATGCTGTAATTTTGGTCAGGGCAGCTGGAGTCCCACAAATGCTTTGAATGTTACAGCTGTATTTAGATGCCAAAGCTTTCAGCCCAGAGACTATCCTTGTACCAGTGATAAAGGCCTCTCCTGTGCTACCAAGGCTACTGTGCAGTCCTGTGCTGTGAATAGAGAATAATCACCCCATTTTCTCTATTTTCAGGAGATTTGTCCTCACCAAGATGAGAGTCGTTCCAAAAGGAGCTTTTGCAGGACTTCTTGACCTAGAGAAAATGTACGTATTATGTCAACAACTATTTTACTCCAAGCAGCAGTTTCTGGTTGCAGCTCTCTACCTCTGAGCTTCATATATTTCATCTTTGGGTTTAAAAAAAAAATAGAAACTTTTTCTATTAACACCACATGTTTCAGAACAATGTTGTCATAAATACATTTTCATATCAGCAAATGGGCAGTCTTCAGTCAAAGGACTGGCTGAACATGGAGTGTCATTGCAGTTAATAAATACAGTACCATAACAGAAGTTCACAGGAAACTGATTATTTTGAGAGTTTTGGAATGAAACAGTGGAAAGATTAGGGAGGAAAGCACTCCTGTTAAGAACAGGTCAGCCAATTCCTTTTTCACTAATGAATAAATAAGATTGTTTTGTGCATGTTCAGAGTCAGCTGGCAAGATGTGTGAGAGAAATTTCTTATGGGTGATAGATCCAAAAATTTTAGCACACAAAGGGTGTAAGCACCTAATTTCTGTGAATTTTAGTGATAATCTTGGAGATACAATTATGAGCGTCTCTGATGAGCCAGATATATCGTATATTCATTAGTAAGCTACTGTGGATGTGTTGCAGCTCTACCACTAGAAGGATTATTACCTTATTTTTTATTATTATTACCCTTATTAATATGTTTTTTCCAGCTGTTCTTTAACAACAGAAAATCTATGGGTTATGTAGTGCTAGCACCAGAAATTATAACCATCACTGTCCAACCTGAACTATTCTTGGGCATTTATGATTTTCCTGAATTATTTCATATATGGGCAAATAACATTTTGCTTAGAAACAGAGCCATACTTGCACTGTGAGAGGAGAGGATCACAAACAGGCTGTTCACCCAAGAGGAGTCTGGGTGGGAGTGGGGCACATAAAATTCAGTGTCCTTTTCAGTGCTGTGTGTATAATGGCAAAGGTCAAAAGGACAGTTCTCTACACCTTTTCTACCCTTTTCCCTCGTACTCTTGTATAAGTAAGGAATTTACCAAGAAAGTGAACACACCAGAAGGTATGGCCAAGAAAGTGAAAGGATTTTGAACTTGGAGAAGGATGGATGGATGGATGAATGGACAGAGGATGAACAAACAGTGAACATGCAAGGATTGAAGAGCTGCTATCAGTAGCAAGTGGTAAAGCTCAGATGGCATCTGGCCTTTTCTGAAATAGGAGATCCATTTCAGAGTATCACTCTAGGTTCAGGAGTCTTCTCTCAGCATGTACAAACTAAAAATCTTCCCACTTATGGATCCAGCCTCTCATAAACCCAGCAAGCACCACTGTAAAAGGTAATTTTTCTTGATAAAAGTCCTAGTTAGGGCTAAGATCACCTCTGTGTTGCCAGTTTTGTTGGCTCTTGTTTCTCCCCAGTCTTGTGGAGTTCCTTTTAGCCTAGTCCTTATGGAAAATCATTGAGCTCTCTGGTGTATGAATTGAGTTGCAAAGTGCATTGTGAGCTGTTTCTGTTATCTTTAATTACTCAGAAACCATATGTCAGATAGGTATGAAGGCAGTGAATAGATTGTCTCTAAGTGGTGATTTATTGTTAACCAAAAAAATTATATATGGTAATGGGCTCAATTTGAAAATACATCCACCTACTAGTAGTACATGGAGGAGAAATGGGGACAGACAGTTTATAGCAAAACATCCTTGAAAATAAAATTGTGATAAATATGTAAATGAGACCAATCAACATCAACAAAGATGCAGTATTTGCAGATGATATGGCAAACAGATAAATTTGAAATAGCTCGCAAATCCTAAACCTAACCCATAAAACATTCATCAGAAATATTCATGATAATGTAGGGACAAAAAAGTGGGTAATCAAATAATAGATTTGCATATAAAAACGCAGCCTTTGTATGAAAGCCTTTTTACTCTTGCAAGATCATGCACAGAAAGAAAGATTAAGCAAACTGTAGCCTATTTAAGGAAAACAGATATTAATATTGTGGTACCTCCATATGGTAAAATGTAGATAGCCTGATGTACACAAATTAGATACTTCAACGTAGTATATGTATGTGCTCACCTAGAACTAAATAGAATAAAAATGAAGTGACAATATTTCATGAATGCATTACTGAAGAAACATTAATGAAGAAAAACCAGTATCTTGTGCAGTCCAACATATCTGTACACACAATTTTTTTTGCTAATAAATCATTCCTAAGTGTGTTTCTGAGAACAGGGTAGGTTTTAAAGCCCAGAATTTGGAGGGAAATGGTTGTCTTTGAAATCATTTTTCGGGGATGAGCTGGTTGATTACAAGTTGGAATGTGGTAGTCAGAGGCTGTCCTGGGCATAGTGACCATGAAATTATAGAGTTTTCAATTTTCGGTGAAGCACGGAAGGAGGTGAACAAAACCACTGCCTTGGACTTTGGGAAGGTAGAATTTGGCCTGTTTAGGACACTGGTTCAGAAAGTCCCTCAGGAAGCAATCCTTAATAGCAAAGGGGTCCTGGAAGGCTGGACATACTTTTAGAAGGAAATCTTAAAGGCACAGGAGCAGACCACCTCTGTGGGCCAAAAGACAAGCCATCAGGGAAGAAGACCTGCCTGGCTGAACAGGGAGCTTTCACAGGAACCCAGGGAAAAAACAGAGTTTGTGACCTCTGAAAGAAGGGGCAGGCAACTCAGGAAGAATACAAAGATGTTGTTAGGGCATGTAGAAAGAAAATCAGAAAGGTGAAAGCTCAGGTAGAACTCAATCTGGCTACTGCTGTGAAAGACAATAAAAAGTATTTTTATAAATACATTAACAACAAAAGTAGGGCCAAGGAAAATCTCCATCCTTTATTGGATGCAGGATGGGAACATTGTCACCAAGGATGAGGAAAACACTGACATACTTAATGCCTTCTTTGCCTCAGTCTTTAACTGAAAGACAGGTTATGCTCAGGGTAACCAGCCCTGAGGTAGTAGAAAGGGATGGGGAACAAAATAAACTCCCTGAAATCCAGGAAGGAGTCATTAGTGACCTGCTGAGCCACTCACAAGTCAATGAGGACAGATGGTATTCACCTGAGGGTGCTGAGGGAGCTGGTGGAAGAGCTTGAAAAGCCATTCTCCATCATTTATCCTCAGCCCTGGTTAACCAGGGAGGTCCCGGGTGACTGAAAGTTGACCAGTGCGAGACCCATCAACAAGAAGAGTCAGAAGGAGGATCCAAGGAACTACAGACCTGTCAGCCTGACCTTGGAGCCCAGGAAGGTTATGGAACAGATTATCTTAAGTGCAATCACACAGCACATACAGGACAACCAGAGCATCACACCCACTCAGGATGGGTTTAGGAAAGGCAGGTACTACTTGACCAACCTAATCTTTTTTTATGACCAAGTGACCAGCCTGGTAGGAAAGGCTGTGGATATAGTTTTCCTAGACTTCAGTAAAATCTTTAATACTGTCTCCCACAGCATTCTCCTGGAAAACTGGCATCCCATGGCTTGGAGAGCTGCACTCTTTGCTGGGTTAAGGACTGGCTGATGACTGGGCCCAGAGAGTGGAGGTGAATGGTACCAGAGGGTGGCTGGTCACTAGGGGTGTCCCCCAGGGATCAGCATTGGGGCCAGTCCTGTTCAACAACTTTATTGATGAGGGGATCGAGTGTACCCTCATTAAATTTGCGGACAGAACCAAGTTGGGTGGGAGTGCTGATCTGCTGGAGGGTAGAAAGGCTCTGCAGGAGGATCTGGGCAGGCTGGATAGATGGGCCGAGACCAGCAGTATGAGATTCCACACTTGCTGAAGTGCCAAGTCCTGCACTTGGGTCACAACAACCCCATGGAATGTGACAGGCTGGGGGACAGAGTGGCTGGAAAGCTGCCCGACAGAAAAAGACCTGGGGGTGCTGTTTTATAGCTGGCTGAATGTGAGCCAGCAGTGTGGTCCAGAAGGCCAATCTCATCCTGGCTTGTATAAGCAATAGTGTGGCCAGCAGGACTAGGGAAGTGATTGTCCCCTTGTACTCGGCACTGGCGAGGCCACATCTCCAGTGCTGTGTCCAGTTCTGGGCCCCTCACTACAGGAAAATATTGAGGTGCTGGAGCGAGTCCTGAGATGGCCAACAGAGCTGGGTGAGGGTCTAGAGAGTAGGTCTTATGAGGAGGGGCTGAGGGAGTCAGGGTTGTTTAGCCTGGAGAAGAGGAGGCTCAAGGGAAACCTTATCATTCTCTGTAACTACCTGAAAGGAGGCCCTAGTAAGGTGGGGTTCAACCTCTTCTCCCAGGCAACTGGTGACAGGATGAGAGAAAATGGCTTCAAGCTGCATCAGTGTAGGTTAAGGTTGGACATCATGAGGAATTTCTTCACAGAAAGGGTGATTAAACATTGGAATGGACTGCCCAGGGAGGTGGCACTTAGTGCTTTGGGCATGGCTTTTAGTGCTTTGGTTTAGTTGACACTATGGTGTTTGGTCAAAGGTTGGACTCAATGGTCTTGGAGGGTACCTTCCAACTCAGAATACTCTGTGAAATATCTGTGAAATATCTGTCTTCTCCAACCTAAATGATTCCATGATTCTATTCTATGATTCCAAGTTAAATTAGAGATGAGTTCTTCATAGGAATCCTAACTCTGTTGTATTTACCTTCAAAGTGAATGAAGGCTTTTGAACACATGCACCAAAAATTTCTGGTTTTTAATAAAAAATAATTCAATAATATTTTCCTGCTTTCTCTATGCATTTTAGTATCTTCTCAAACACCCAAACTGCTGAGAGCTTTGAATAGATGTATTTTGCTGGAAAATATCAAATACTTTCAGTTAGGCTTCAGTCAGAGTACTCAGGTAAGATCTCCCTTGTTTGCCATTTGGACTCTCCAAGGACTTTCCAGAATGGACACTAGGGAGTATGACTCATCACGGAAAAAATAGTGTGACTGGGAAATGATGGCATGGAGCACTTGATCTGCTCTCCCTTGTGCAGCTCTAATTTTAGTTACCAAGACAAAATCTTTTGTGTTTCATCTGATTTGTAATTATTTTTTTTTTA